TTGCAGCTTCCGCAGCATTTACCAATAACACGGTAACTTCACGTAGTGACAGCCTCCGCAGTCTCTACATTAACAACTGGTAGTTTCCTACCTTCATTTCATCCGCTAACGACTAATACCAGTACATTTTATCAACCAATTGGCATTTTGCAGTTTTTTATGCTTTGTATTTTCTTAGTTCTTTTCTTAGGTCATTTATTTTAGTGCAATTTTCATTTGCTTTAAGTAGCTAGCAATCTTTTATTACGATTCTGTTTTAGGGGCCTGCTGTGGGACTAAGTTCTTGCTTTCCATTTGTGCGGGCTAAGTACGGAGGTGTCCCACAGCGTGCCCCTCTTTTTGCCAAAATAAATTACGTTTTATCATTTACATTGTTTGTGTGGTGTCATAAATAGAACAAAATGACGTGCCTATATACCACAAGTATACGTACCAAATGTGGTATATACCACATGTGATAAATAATAAAATACTAGAATGGTAAAACATGAATTGTATAATAGCTCCTAAATAGTACAGCAAAATTTGGCAGGAGAAATAGCGATGTGATGTGTTGACTCAGGAACAGACGTAACATCGGAGAAACCAGAGAGCTTTCATGTTTAACTTCTTAATGTTTATTCCGCCATTTTTAGTTACACTACTTTTTACATATCAATACACTCAGGTGATCAGGTGACATAACACCATTACAAAAGTATGTATTCTGACGTATGAATAAAGTAGTCCCAATTGGTCAGAATTTCAGTGATAAAAATACAATATTTATATACATATCTAGTTACTGCACTTTTTAAGTACTGAAAAGAGGTTAATTATTCACTGGGTTGTAATTTTGCTGACTGAAAAATGCGCTAAATTAAAACCCAGTGAATATGTAAAATTTAGCATAGAACACATTATCTAAAACCATGAATTTAAAACATACTGAATATGCCTGAAATGGTAAATCAGCGAAATTTAAACCCAGTGAAAATTAATCATTTTACAGTAACAGGTTTCAAGAAATAATAAACTTAAGATTAGGATTAAAAAACATTTAATCTAGCCAAATTTTCATGCATATCTTGAAAATTACACACTTATCACACCAAAATTGAACTTAGCTGACATTTCATAGTGATTGATAAGATTTAAAGTTCAAAGATAATCTGATAAATTGTTTGAATCATTGTAACCACAAAAAAAGTAATTCTAAGTTACACTTTTTACGAATAACTTAAAACATAATGTGAGATGTGCCAAAACTTTGCTAAGATCTTAAAATAGTTAATTATATTTCCAAGTTTGAAAAAAAGATTTGATAACCACAATCCTGTTAGATATAATGATACAAGCAAGGTAAATAGATTCTTGCAAAGTTTTGGCACATCTTGCATTGATATGTTTTAAGATATTCATAAAAAATCTGTATTAGAAGCTACATCCCCAACAGAAGTTGCATCCATTTTTTTCAATCCCACACCTTATTATTGATTGCTGGTGGTTACTGCACTTGTATGAGTGAAATGTACTTCCCATAATAATAAAGATGGTTTATTTAATTGTTGCGCAGATCAACATGTACGAAAGAAAGGACACTACCAATATATTCATTATACAGGCTATTTCAAGCCGACTTTTTGGGTCAGCGAGTGTGGTTCAGTTGTTAGTGTGTCCATCTGCAGTGGCAGGAAACTATATTTTGTTTGAGAAGTATTACAAGTTGCTATGTGAATGTTCATTAGACTGTAATAATCCAAATATCTTTTATATCAGTTTATTAGTTTGGTACTTGTATATTCAGTAGAAGTACGTTTTTTAGAGGGGAATAATACATCAATTAATTTGAACAACTTTGCATAAACTCTAAAATGCAATAATAAGTTTCTCTGTTTATAACGTGTTTTGTTATGAAAAATGTCTCGCACACCTTGGGTGAAAACAAAATTGTGTGATCAATCTCATCCTTGCCTCTTGTTGGTGTGGGTTTCTATTATTAAACAGTACATATCATATGGTGAATCTCAATTATATTTGAATATATATTACAGAATTCCTGCATGACAGGTTATTGTCAGCAATATTTTTTTTTCACGTTTCGCAAACTAATTCTGGCACAGCACCCATTCATTTGCAGACACTGTGTGTGCAAAAAAAGTTGAAATTCAGTTTATTATTACATCAGTGATCCTACATTTTTTACCCAACTGTAATCTTGCATGCAAATGATGTTTGTAGTGCCTTCTAGGAAAACAGGAAAACTGTATCTTAGTTTTTTTTTGTTATGTGCATAGTACAAAGATGAATGCTGATGCTAATGTTATAATTGCCATGGAAACCATTAATCTTGGGACTACACAACATAAAGGCATCATGGCCAGTTTTCCAAAGTCCCATAAGCTGAAATGAGAGGTTTGATTCAGAGTTAATTTAACTCACCATTGAAAAACATGTGAAGAGAATAAAGGGCGGTTGTCATCGTGCAGCATGTGTTTGAATTTCATGGAAACAAACAATATATTTTACACACGTTGTGTACGTTGCTATGAGTCCCATATCAAACAGGACGTGGTCCAATGATCACCACCCTTTAATCTATAAAGTAAAGTATATATGTTACACAACTGAACGCTTTCTATTCAATTATTGTTTTTAATTTTATCCTTATAAACCAATTCTGCTGAAGACTGAAAATGTGTATTCAAGACTCAGCTGATTTCGTATGCCTGCATAATATATTCTGATGGCACAAGCCCTACGTCTGTCTTTGTTTCCCCAATCCACCATTTGTAACTAGAGAACTCCTCTAATTTATTGATGATATGAATGAACTCTCCACGTTTAAAACTCAGTTCATCGTCCTTGGCACCTTTGCAATCCCACATCGCAACAAATATATTCACATAATCGTGTTTCCAATTGCGAGTCTGCATGACTCCGATTTTCTTGCGCTCAATGACAGGCAAAGGCTTAGGTTCTGGAATTTCTTCTTGTATGACTGGTTTAATTGGCTTAGGTTCTTCTCTGATGACAACCTTTTTGCTTGCAGGTTCAGGAGTAACATTTTCCTGCGGTATTTCATAAACATCTTGATCATCTTCTTCAACTTTTACTTCTGGTATATCATACGTTTCATCATCTTCCGTTGCTATGGCATCTAATAAGATACAACAATGTAACAAAATCAACATAGTTGCACCAAATAATTAAACCCAGGGTACTACATGTACGTCAGGACTGGCTAATACTACTGTAAAATGACTAATTTTCACTTGGTTTAAATTTCACTGATTTACCATTTCAGACATATTCAGTGGGTTTTAAATTCACGGTTTTATCATTTAGATAATGTGTTCTATACTAAATTTTACATATTCACTGGGTTTAAATTTCCCTGATTTACCATTTCAGACATATTCAGTGGGTTTTAAATTCACGGTTTTATCATTTAGATAATGTGTTCTATGCTAAATTTTACATATTCACTGGGTTTTAATTTAGCACATTTTTCAGTCAGCGAAATAAGCAAAATTAAAAAGCTAGAAAGCTGGCTATAAATAATATAACAATCTTCATTGGTGATTATCAACAATCAAGAAGCTATCAGTGCATGGTCGGTCAAATTAAAACAATATTTTTTTGTGTTTCTAGACTGCCTATATCCAAATACCTTGGTCTGTAATCAGATATTTTTCACTTCCCCTTTCTTTAGTGAAGTCAAAATCTGACGCATTTTTGGCTCATTCATCATTAATGAATGAATGAAGTGTAATGGAATTTATTCCATGGAATGCGATTATAGCAAAGACCTTAAAATATCAATTGTGACAGTGCCCTCTACAGTCCTATAACAGGTAACATAATTTAATGCAGCGCCCTCTAAAGTCACATAATACTGTAAATGCAATAATTATTCACTGGTTTTTAATTTCACGATTTTTACTGAGAAGTAAAATTTGCTAAATTAAATCTACACGAGACTCATTGTTTCCTTGACAACTTTGTGAAAAACCCAGTGAATATGCTCAAAACATCAAAATAATGAAATTAAATGTCAGTGAAAATAAATGGTTTTATAGTAGTTATTATATAAATTGTTGCAGTGCCCTCTACAGTCAAAATAAGTTCATAGTTCCAGCTAGTTGTGAATTGCTGAAAAATGAATGGGTCTCGTAACAGGGAAATATGCAGGTTTAATGAATCTTTCGTCAGAGGTGTTGCCTGTACACTGAATAGAGAGACATTATGATCACCTAGGTCCATTATACATGTATAGTCAGAATTATGGTTTAACATATTAATTGTTGCAATGGCCTTTAACTTAATATATCAATTGTCCCAGCTGTAAATTGCTGCAAAATGGATTGGTTTCCATCCAGTCTCGTAACAGTGCAGTGTTTAATGAATCTCTTGTCAGAAATGTTGCCTGTGTAACTATTAGAGACATTGGGGTTATATAATAATTGTTACAGGTCTATAACTTAATACATAAATTGTTGCAGCTAGTTGTAAATTGCTGAAAAATGGATAAGTTTCCAGTCTCGTAACAGAGCAGTGTTTAATGAATCTCTTGTCAGAAATGTTGCCTGTGTACTATTAGAGACATTGAGGTTATATAATAATTGTTACAGGTCTATAACTTAATACATACATTGTTGCAGCTAGTTGTAAATTGCTGAAAAATGGATGAGTTTCCAGTCTCGTAACAGTGCAGTGTTTAATGAATCTCTTGTCAGAAATGTTGCCTGTACACTATTAGAGACATTGGGGTTATATAATAATTGTTACAGGTCTATAACTTAATACATAAATTGTTGCAGCTAGTTGTAAATTGATGAAAAATGAATGAGTTTCCAGTCTCGTAACAGAGCAGTATTTAATGAATCTCTTGTCAGAAATGTTGCCTGTGTACTATTAGAGACATTCGGGTTATATAATAATTGTTGCAGTGCCCTTTACAGTTCTATAACTTAAATAGATACATATTTCTTACCTGCATTTTCTAATTTGTTAACAACATTGTTTATGCATTTAATCCAGTCATCCATGTCATCTTTACTTGGTGCAATGAACTACAACAACAAACAATTATTATTATTGGTTACTGATTTTTAACGTGGTCGCAATCAGTAACTTAACAGCCATGAAATTTGAATATAGTGTCCCAACACTGCATGGCGCATTTTTAAATCCATGCTAATCAGGTCTTGAAGCTTGTTGCTACAAAGTAAACTTAATTGCGTGAAAATTCACGTACCTATGTAGTATATATAATATCAAAGCAATTAGACTTGTGGTTTTTAACAAGAAGTTGAAAATATCACTTTTTACCAAAAATGACAAAAATAATTATG